CAGCTGCACGCCGACGAACTCCGAACCCGAGCCGCCAGATCTGCTGCTGCCCAAGCCTCCTCGTAGCCGCTGTCCTCCACCGCTCGTCGTCACCGTCGCTGCCTATCGCTGCCTCCTCGTTCGCGGACCCGTAGCCTCGCACGGCGATGTCGATTCGTTCGATAAATCCTCGAGGCAAGATCCCGCTTGCTCAGAACTATTTTTCTATTTATTATAAATTATCTGCAATTTTAGATCTGTTAATATTTATCTGCGTGGATTTGATGAATAATTTTTAATGGATAGTAATTATAGGATAAATAGTATTTTTAGGACAAATATAATAAATTAAAGAATTTATTTTGAATAACAAAATTATTATAATATTTTTAGAATTTATGTTGTTGGGGTGGGTCTGAGGTGTAGTGATATTGATTGTTGATTATTCCAGGCTCGCACCAACGATATTCCTGTGTAGTGTTGGGGTGGGTCTGAGGTGCAGTGATATTGATTGTTGATTATTCCAGGCTCGCACCAACGATATTCCTGTGTAGCGTTGGGGTGGGTCTGAGGTGATATGATATTGTGATTATTGATTATTTCCAGGCTCGCACCAGCGATATTCCTGTGTAGCGCTGCCGTGGGTCTGAGGGGGGTAGTGAAAAGTTGTACGTAAATGATTTGGTAAACAATCGATTATCCAAGAATATGAACCTTGACTCTAGTGAGATGTGAACCAGTGAGTTGTGATAGGATGACTAGTTGTGTTCTTTTCATACATAGATTGGGGTTAATATTTAATTATCTATAATTTGAGACATATGGTATATACATGAGGGTTTCCTTGTTTGGATTATTTCGCTCGACGTACTACGTCTCTTGTTGTAGATTTTTAAATATTAATTCCATCTATCATATGATCTTGTTGCTTGGATGGTTTCTGATCGCTACCTGCATGATCTTGTTACTTGGTTGATTTTTGGATTCGTCTGATTATTAGTATTCTAGTTGCACGCCTCTATTGTTATTCTATCATCACATGTTCTATTTTTATTTCTATTATCGCATTGACCACGCATATATTATCATTATCGTTGTTGTATTTGTTCTTGCCTTGGGGTATCTTGCCGTGTGTTTTACACGCTGACGTACTCCTATTTTCTGGGTGTACGTCAGATTTAGGAGATGTACAGCCTCAGTTCGGGATAGTACAAGAGCCAGAGGATTTGCAGCAGTGAGGTCTTCCAGATGGATCAGAAGAACAATCTGAAGCTTAGACTTTTCTTTATGTAGTAGTTGATAAGCGCTAAATCTCTTTTGCAGAACCTTACTTTAGTCTGATATTGGATTTAGTTGTTTTAGCAGTACTTTCCTTTATTTCTGTTGGATTATGTATTTTTATATTTTTAGTTGGACCGTTTTGTAATAAGGGCGTGTTTGACCCATATTTTTAGGTCTGGGATGATTTACCATTGATGATATGTCTATTTCTTATTCTGGGTTGTCATTATATTCTTGCTATGTGTGATCGGGGACCTGTGACTTCGTATATTATATTTTTGATGCTTAGCGTATTGGATTGAGAAGAAAAAAATAATAATAATGCATATTTCTTCTCAATCTAATACGTCGCGGACTTGTTCACGTTCCGATTCCTGAGTATTTTGGGAAGCGGGGCGTGACAAACTCTATTTTGTTTACCTTAATTTGTTTAAATCTTTAGTTTGCTATTTAACTAATGCTAATTTCTTTGATTTTATAACTGGTCCAAATAAGGAGGAAACTAAGTTAGGGGAGTTAAATCAAACTCCTTTTTGTATGATGGACATGCTTCCATCCACTCATCAAGGATATAAGAATTAAGTACATTCTATTAATTATTCTTCATGGCATTTCATCTTTGAATTTGGTTTTAAGTTCTTCTCTTTTCTTCTCCTAATCTTACTTTAGGACTCCAATAATTAATTCTAATGACATCATTTAGTACACTTGAATAATGGCAAGAAGAACTGGAGCATTCAACTATTTGGTAGCCATTTCCTTTAAAACCAAAAACTACGTTAAAAATTATTGATTTTGAACCATAAGGATATTCAATCACTTCGGTAGACACTTACTTTATATAAAAACTTACATTGATAGCATTATTATTAGATACTTTTATATTAGGGTAAACTCTGCTAAACCCCTAAAAGTGTTTTCCCATTTTTAGATAACCCACTAAAGTTATTGTCTAAAATAATAATATTATTGAATAAGATATTTCAAATATGTGAACATGTAAGTATTGTGAAAACATTTATTTCTACTCCCATTTTGATGGATCTCAAAATCATAGTTAATATATTTTTTAACTAGAGATGGAGAATCTTACAATAGGGAGATATATTTGATCAAAGTGATTATATTGGAGAACATAAATAAAGTGGACAATCAGAAGTACTTAAAAGACAAACTGCAAAGTAAGACACAATTCTCAGTTGACAACTGAAGCATACTAATGAAAATATATTCCTTTCTCATGAGAAAAAGAAGAGAATTAGTAATATTCTTTTATTCACTAAACTATTTCTAATAATTTTACTAGGACAAATTTTGAAAAACGACCGTATTTCGAATTTAATGAGCAAAAGCGACCGCTTAACAGAAAAATTAGCAAAATCGACTTTTTTTTGCACGGGACTACTAGTCCCGTGCAGAAAAAGGGTCGCTTTTCACCCGACACCCATCTTCCCCCTTCCGCTCATTCCCTCTAGTCGTGACCAAAAAACCAAACCCCCACCCTCCTTCCCCACCTACCTCACCTCCCCTACCCCCTCCTCCCCCATTCAACAAGCCCAGGCCCCCTCCTCCAGACCCTCCCCCTACCCCCCCCCCCC